TGTCCCGTGAGGGGCGGGTGGACATTTTCCACATGGCTGAAGAGTGACAAGTCTCATCGCTGACCTTCCTAGCTGGCAGGAGAGAGGCCGGAGCAGGCGTGGGAGCCAGCCCGTGGGAAGCACGGAGATCCCTGCAAAGCAGGAAGCGCTGTGGGGACACCCTGTTAACCGAGCTGCCCAGCCACGGGTGTGGTGCCCCCCACCTCGGGGGACAGTGCTGTGCAGGCACCACGGGCATTGGCTCCAGGCCCACACCACCTCAACTCAGGACCCAAGTGCCTGGATCTCAGCTCTGCCACTGGTTTGCTGTATGAGCAAACCACAGCACTGCTCTGTGCCTCAGTTTCCCCAACTGTACGGCAAAGACAGGCATGCTGGTTGCTGAGCTTGCGGCAAGGAGAGGAAGAGGAGCCTGGGCTGGCATCCACGGGAGGCTGAAAGCACGGCATGAAAGACAGCCGGCTGCATCCCGACACCAAGCCAGGCTGTCCCTCTGCTCAGGGAAGGGCAACGGCAGCAGCGCTGCCAGTTGGCAGTGGCTACAGGAGTGGGGTCTGCAGCCAGGTCTCCAGTGGGGAAAGCACAGGGGCTGCTCCAAGCTGGGGTCTGTGGAACGGGGGCTTGGCAACCTCGCCTTGCCGGAGAGGCCACGTGCAGAGCTTTGCCATGAAAGGTGCCGGCCGCCCCCAACCTTGTCACAGGCAGCACCGCTGCCGGAGCCCCCCGGCCCCCAGATGGCTAGGGCTGGGGCACAGCCCCCCACCCACCAGGCTGGCAGCTCCACACCGCCACAGCTATCCGGAGATATGGCAAGACTTCCAGGCGCTCCCATGTCCAAACCCAGCAGGCTCAGCCCTAGTTCCGTAACACAGGTTTTTTCCCTCCAATCTGCCAGAGCAGGTGAACCTGGCAGCAGTGGCTACAGCCCTGGGACACCCCAGGCAGGGATCTGAGGCTGTCACCCTTGGCGCAGGGGCCTGGAGGCTCATGGGGCACGGGGCCGTGCTGCAAGGGGACCTCGGGAACACCCCACAGGACCTGCAGGAACCCAGGAGACCCAGAGATACTGGGGGGATCCAGAGAGACCCCAGCCAACCAAGGACACCTGGGGATGCCGTCGGGGAGTGGGGGCACCCAGAGAGACCCAGGACTTCCCCAAGGTCCTGGAAGGAGATGGAGAGGGGGGCAGAGAAGAACCAGAGAGCCCCAGGGCACCCTGAGGAGATGGGACACCCAGAGGGACCCAGAAGGATCCGCAGGGGAACCCAGAGTAGACTGGGCACCCAGAAAGGCCCCAGAGCACCCAAGGGGATGAGGCACCTGGGGAGAGCCAGGGGGACCCGGAGGAGCTGGGGCACGCAGGGGGAGGCACCCCGAGGATATGAAATGCCCGGGCGAGGGGGCCTGGTTCCCCCGCGGGGGGAGAGCGCTGCCCGGCACGGCACCCCAGGGGCTCTCACCGATTTCGGCTTCTTCTTGGGGGCGAGGTTGTCGTAGAAAGCCTTGGCCTCCTCCGTGCCCGGAGCCTCCATAGCGCGGCGGGACCGGGGCTCGCGCC